TGGGTGAGCAAATGCTGACTTCCTGACTCAGAGAGGCCCACATAGAGAAGGACCCCAGCTCCACCTTGCCAGCCTTGTGGGTGTACCGCCTGGGAAGTGGGTCCTCCAGCCCCAGCTGTGCTGTCTCAGCAGATGCCTCCAGGGGCAGAGAGGAGCTCTTCCCACTGAGCCCCGCCCAGATTGCAGATGTGTAAGCTCAGTCAATGTTGTCTTCAGCCACCACCCCTTGGAGTGATGTGCCAGGCAGCAGTAGATAATTGGGGCGTAGGCTTCCATGCACACTTTTTATTCCAAACCAAAAATCTCCTTGCATCAGGTAAGCATTTGGAATAGGTGAATGGCCATTTCAGTGCGGCATGCACTGATTATGCACCTTATGGGTAGACCTATGGAAGCGAAGAGCCAGGAGGCAAGGCTCAATGAGATAATGAGCTCACAGCCACATACATGAGCTCTGCCTCTGCCACTTTCCAGCAAGGGAGGACTTAGACAATATGCATCACTGCCCTGAACTTCAGTTCCTTCATCTGTAAGATGGAGACCAAAGTGCCTACTAAGTTAGGGCCCTTTGGAATACAGAGAAAGTGTACACTAGCTGAATAAAATAAAAGGAACTCATTGATTCACATAACTGAAAGGTTTGGAAGAGAACTTCAGGATAGAGGAACAGGAATCGCTTGGCCGAAACAATGTCATATTCTCTCTCTCTCTCTCTCTCTCTCTCTCTCTCTCTCTCTCTCCTTGTCCAACCTTTCCATCCCTGGGTTCAGTTTTCTCTCCATTCTTGGGCGAGATCTGAAGAAGTGTTCCCAGCAACTGCACACAGTGCATATCGTACCAGTTTAACGATCATCACCAGTAGTGCCTCTTTCCCTAGGATTGCAGCAAAACTCCCAGGGCTAACACTCATCGGTCAGCTAGGCTTACTTGTAAATTACTTTCTCTCTGATTGGTCAAACCTGAGATGCATCAGGGACAGGGGTCAGCTTGATCTTGGATGGCCATCCGGGGAGGGCTAGTGTCCCAGGGAAAACTCAGGTGATTGTCAGGAGGTGTTATCAGAGGAAAGCAGCCAGGTGTCACGCAGGCATACACAGCACGAGACCCAAAAGAGACACCTGAACACATGTGAGCAGTGATGTCAACATGGATGTCGGTCCAGTGGTGCTTCTTTGTTCCTGGAAGCTCTTGATTCATGCTTTCTGGAAGGAGAGGCTGAGTATGTTTCAGCAAAGGAGGAGAAAATGTTACTCTTGGGCTCCCAGGCAGCCATGATTCATTGGTTTTCATCTGACTCAGAATATAGTGTAATTATGCTGGGCAGGTGATGAATATCACAAAAGCACTGCTGGGTCTTAACATCCTTATGAAAAAGAGGTTTCCACTACAAAGCATCCCCTTGAGCTCTTCAGATCAGGGAAACCAGTTTATAAATCCATAAAATCAATAAAAGCGTGTGCCCAAAATTCTACTATAAAAAATCCATGGAGAACAAAAGAAATTGCTGTGAACAAAAGGCACATAGAAACTTGCACGTATTTTCAAGATTTCTGTCCAATCAGGGTTTCTCCTATTTCCTCTTTTTTTCAACTGCAATAGAATTTCTTTATGGACAGTGTCTGTACCGTTTGGGGATCTTAAAGTACTTTGGAGAGCAAGCGGGTGCATTTAAGAATGGATTTGAATTTCTGTCATGTAAGAATAAAGCCCTATTTGGCAAGAGTGATGCCAAGAAACCCGAGCGGTCTCACAGAACAGCGAGCTCTGCACTTTGATCACACACTCAGTTCAGTAAAAAGCTTTTGGCATGCCCTTGAACTCAAGTGTGTTTACAAATAAATCGTACCTTTGTATTAGGTATGACACTGTGTGCTCTATGAAACGTGCAAAATAGACACTATAACCGGTGAGAGGAAATAAAGATAGAAATCCCTATCTTCCTCCACCTTGAAGGAAAGGAATGAAGTCTGGAATTGGCTCATGGGCTGGGAGGCTTAGCAAGTCCAAAATCCAATGGGGCAGGGTAAGGGGCGTCAGCAGGCTGGAAACTTGGGGAGACCTGCAGAGCCCAAAGGCAGAGTGCTGTCAGAACTCCCTCCTGCTCAGGGGAAGTCAGTCTTTGTTCTATTCTGGCCTTCAGCTGATTTGGTGAGGCCCACCCACACAGGGAGGATAATCTACTTTATTGACAGTACACTGATTTAAGCGTTAATCACATCCAAAAAACACCTACATTGAAACATCCAGAATAATGTTCAACCAAACACCTTGTCACTGTGGCTCAGCCAAACTGACACAAAATTAACCATCATGACTCCACGTGAGAAATTTTCAGTTCAGGCAGATAATTACAGATCATAGGGAGCTCCCTGACTGGTGTTTCATGTGCAAAGGTGATACCTAGGAATTAGAAGGTGTTGGGCTCAATAAATATGAGGCTCTTTGGCTCGAAATACAAGGAGAGTGGGCAAGAATGGAACATGGTACACTCTGTCAAGAGAGTAAGTTAGCACATATATCATCCATTCCAATACATTTATCCATTGACCCATAGATGTCAGACCTGGGAATTCCATTCAGTGATGCTCAGTGCAGTGCTATTTATGAGACAAAAAAAAAAAAAAAATAGACTATCTGTAAGGGGAGTGATTTGATAAATTATGGTATATCTTATAATGAAATATTCTATAGTTCAAAAACAGAGCAAAAAAACGCTGATGTAGAGGCACTTGGGTGGCTCAGCTGGTTAAGCATCTGCCTTTGGCTCAGGTCATGATCCTGGGGTCCTGGGATCGAGCCCCCTAGGCGGGCTCCTTGCTCAGCGGGGAGCCTGCTTCTCCCTCTCCCTCTGCGTGCCGCTCCCCCTGCTTGTGCTTTCTCTCTCTCTCTAATAAATAAATAAAATCTTAAAAAAAAAAAAAAGCACTGGGGCGCCTGGGTGGCTCAGTCATTAAGCATCTGCCTTCGGCTCCGGTCGTGATCCGAGGGTCCTGGTATCAAGCCCCACATCAGGCTCCCTGCTCAGCGGGAAGCCTGCTTCTCCTTCTCCCACTCCCCCTGCTTGTGTTCCCTCTCTCACTGTGTCTCTCTGTCAAATAAATAAATAAAATCTTTAAAGAAATAAAAAAATTTAAAAAACACCGGTGCAAAAACTTATTCATGATAATTATCAAGTGACACTATACATTTATAGATATATACCCTTTATATAGGATATGATTAGCTCCTGTATTAAAAATAGTGAGATATATGTAGGATTTTTTTGTCATGGGTATTTCCAGAAAGAGCCACAAGAAACTGCTATCAGCAGTTCACTCTGAGAAAGACAGAGACTCACTTTTTCACCTTGGACCTGCTTCAAATATTTTCCACCACATGCATATAAAGGGCTTTTGTATGTCTTTCAGTGGCGGAAATTTCAGTTTGTGCTGTAATAGTGATTGAAATGATGTTTGGGTCCGCTGTGTGGCACATGCAGGACCGCCGGGGCCCGCAACATCCTCTCAATAAAGCAGAGCCCTGCTGTGCGGCTGCAGGGGGTCAGGGAGACCCCAGAACTAGGGGGACGGCCAGCAGGGCAGTCTACCTCCAGTAGGCAGAGAAGATGGCAGAGCAGCTGAGGACAGCCAAGGACATGGCACTGAGAGCGCGGGGGCCTGTGAGATGCCACGGACGGGCCCACCGATGCCGGGAAGCCGCGTTCAGACAGGGCTCAGCCAGGGCTTGGAGCGCTGAGCTCAGCGCGCCGTGATGGAAATGCCTGTGTCCTAAGTGCTCCGCGGGCATCAGCGTGTGGAACCCTGACGACATCACAACAGAGCAAGTGCTGCTATCCCCTACCTTACAGATGAGGAGACTGAGCCAGAAGTCAATGAATGAATGAGCGAATGAATGAGTGCATGAAGCCACCCCAGGGTGGGCACCTGTCTAACATGACCCCGTGGAAGAAACGCACATGGACTTTGGAGCTGGTTTTTGATGCTTGCAAGCAAGGCGGTCAAACTCACGAGCCACCAGAGAACTGGCTTCGTCTGCAGAGCGGTCTGAGCGTGGGACCCCCAGGGTCCTTGGGAGCCCACACGTGGACCCAAGGTTCACAGCCCCTGTTCTGGGGGGCAGGGGGCTTTCCAGATCTAAGATTCCAGGATTCTATGATAAGTCATGACGTCCCTGACCCTTTGACGTTTATAAGCTTAAACCTCCCCCAACACACACAGAAATTAAAATCATTCCGTACAAACCCTCAAGTGTCCATTTCAAGGCAAAAGCGTCTGGAGGAGTAAACTACAGTTTAGTGCAGAGTAGGGTGTTTTTGTTGTCTGGCATCTGAGAACATTACCAGTTGTTCGGTCAGGCTGACCACCAGGTTCTCTGTCCCAGTGCGGACACTTTGTGCGTGAAAGGGGCACCATCCATATTTGTGCTGAGACAAGTGCACCAGCCAGGACATCTTACTGCAGGCAGAACGAATCTGGATCAGATCATGTCCGTTTGTGGCAAGTGGGCACTGGCTGCTTTTCCAGGAGCCCTGGGCAGAAAGGGGTCACCTGCTCGCCTGCCCCTCCGTCCCAGCAGCGCTTTGGCTAACTCCTGTCCCTGCACTTTTGAACCTGCTCTTCGTTCCCTATGCATACACACAGTGTGGCCGGGTGCCGGGCCGGCCTTGGGTGGCCTGAGGCGGAAGAGCCTAGGGGTCAACACCCAAGAACAGGCACTTTTCTCTCTTCTATTTGCTTCTCACCTTTCCAGTACTGGCACTGGGCTCTCCATAATGTTCTCCTAACCCCCTAGGCACGCTCTGCTGTTTACCAGATCAAAGCTCAGTGAGCCCAGGGGCTGGCCACAGCGAAGGCCACTTGTCCCAGAGCACCCACCCCTAAGCCACACTGAACATCACCCAGAATGCTGGGGCAGGCATGGGTTGAAATTTAACCATCCGGATCAGGGGGTTGGGTGAGCTTCTACAAAAAGAGGTGGGTCAACCCCATCTCATGGTCGTCCCGATCAAAGCGAGAGCAGATAGTAGGAAAATCACCCTCTTTTTATTGGGGTCCACGGGGAACAGACCCAAGATGCTAAGGACGCTGGTGTTGGGCAGGAGCCTTCGGAAGTCCTCTGGTTTCTCCGTCTTGGTCAAGCAGATGTGGGGGGCTCTCCGCAGTCATCTGCGAAGGCCGGAGCGATGGTGCTTGCAGGGTCCCTGTGCACAAAGAAATCGGAATGACACTTGTAAGTAGATCCTCGAATTTCCCCAGATGCGGTCTGACATTTGGCTAATTCTGTAGCGTGTTCCAAAATGGGAGGAAGTCAGACCGGACTGCTTGGGTTCAGGTTCCCACTCTGTCTCTTTTCCTCTGGGTGACCTTGGGCGAGTCCCTTCACCTCAGCTCCATGGGGCCATCAGGAGGGTGATATCCTCAGAAGAAGGCTCGTAGCAAGTGCTCCCCAAGATGAGCTGTTATTAGGAACATCCAGCCCCGCTCCAAAACCCGTCTGGCAGAGAATGTTTTCAGCAAACCTGCCACAAACAGATCATGCAACCAGCCCTGTCCAAAGACTGCCCCGGTCCGCCGCACCCCAGAGGTGCCCGTCCTTAACGCCCTGTGACCTTGGACTCATGCCTCTCTCTTTCTGGGTCTCAGATTTCCCCTCTGTCAAAAAAAAAAAAAAAAAAAAGGCTGGCAGTAAGGTCACTTCTGAAGGTCACTTTTCTGAAGTATCTGCACTTTCCAGGTTTGGACAGTTGAAAGAGCATGGGCTTCACAACCAGCGGCTCCTGAGTGTGGGCACTCGGGACAAGCGACTCATGTCAGAGGTGAGAGCGGGGCCAGCCGCTTCGCTGAGCCCCAGTCTCCACACCTGTAAGAGGGGAGGACTACGGGTCACACGGGGTCACGTAAAGATGGAACGACAGGCGTAGAAAGCCTGCCACAGCCAGGGCTCTCAGTGAACATTATGGACCCTTACTCAGAGTGGGTCCCAGACTGACAGCAGCATCCCCCGCTGGGAGCTTGCTAGGAATGCAAAACCTGTGCCCACCCTAGATCCACCTGTAAATTTCCAAACCATACTCAAAGGTCCTCCTACCTGTGCCTCCTCCAACCCCAATTCCTGGAGGTCACTGCTATGTCTACCTGAGAGCTCAGCCTTCTGGCGCTTTCCTCCATGCTCATAGAATGTGTCTACACATTCACAATACTTCTCAAAAAAATAAAAAAGTGGCCCCACTGTGCATATTGGTTGGCACCATGGCTTTCTCTAGTGTCCACTGGAGACATCTTCACGATTGTCCCTTGGCACCTGTCCCCTCTTTCATACTTGGTACGACTGTGAAGAGCATCAGACCACCCAGACTGGAATCCTGGCTGTGTGCCCCTGGGTAAGTCTCTTAACCTCTCTGAGCCCCAGTTGCATCGCCTGTAAGAGGTGGGTAATCACAGTACTTCCCTTACAGAGCTGTTGGAAGCAGAAATGAGGTCAGGAATGGAAAGTCTCAGAACCGCGCCGGGCACCTTGCAGACACTTGCCAAGTGCTACGTCGCGTGGATGTCCCTGTATTTAACCATTACCCTGTTGGGGGACATTAGATGGTACCCAGTTTTGAACTATTACCAACCACATTCTCACACATCTGCACACACGTGTGTAGGACCAAGTGACATTTTGTGCCAAGCGCCTAAATCTACTCACACCCTGGTCTCCCGGCTACATTCAGGAGAACCGAGGGCTCGGCGGTTACTTCCAAGTTCCACAGTGCACAGAATATATTCTGCCAAACCGGGGAGACTGGGGCTTCCTGAGACATTTATGCCTCCAGTCTAGTGTTTTGGGTATTGGTATTTGGCAGCACATTTCCCTTGGGGAAAAAAAGAAAGTTTGTTCCTAAACACAGTGGTCCCCCCTTCTCCGCAGGGGATCTGCTCCGGGACCCCCAGCAGGCACGGGACTTTATAGGACTGTTCTCTCCTATACACACATATCTACAGCAAGTTTAATGTACTAACTAGGCATAGTACGAGATAAACAACACAACCTATAACGAAATAGAACAACTCTAACGTAAACTTGTAGTAAAGTTGTGGAAAGGTGGCCTCTCTCTGAAAACAGCCGAATCTACCGCACTCACCTTCTGGCAAGGACATGAGATGATAAAACGCCCTCATGGCGGGAGGAAGCAGGGTGAATGACGTAGGCACCGTGACCTAGCGTTAGGCTCTCAGGGACCCAACAAGGACCCGACTCCGCAGCAGAAGGAGGGTCCTCTGCTTCAGGTCCGTGGCGGACCGCCGGAGGGTCAACAAAACGGCAGACAGTAACAGGGGGGGGGGGGGGGGGGGGCTTCTTTCTGACTGAAAATCACTGGTGGCTTGGCCTAGCGAGAAAAGACAGCACTACAGAAGGTTCCAGAATCATTCCAGACAGGCGTTCTCTAGCCCTGCTTCCGTGTGTGCGCCTCTTCCTAAGCCTGGGATTGGTGGCATCCACACTGGCAGCTGACACCCGGCCACGGCAGGAGCCTTTCGGCCACGGACAGGGCAGACGCCGCACGTGAGGGCATCCCACTCCTCGGGAGAGCTGCTTCCTACCACGCGGTGTGTGCCCGACGTTCCCGCGGGCGTGTCTGGCTCCTGCGTCTGCCAGGAGGCTTCGCTCTGTCCAGATCTGTCCCACGCAACCCCCGTCCTTCCCTGCCCGGGGGCCGGTGCGTGACCCACAGAAGGAGCGCCATGACTACTGGTTGAGATCAAAAGGGGATAACATTTTACTTTTATTACTTCCCGGCAGAGACCGGCGTCGGTTAAGGCAAGACCGACCTTGGGCACAGCAGCGTGGCCCTGGGGGTACACGGCTGTGGCGAGCAAGCACGGAGGCCTCCTCAGGTCCAGCCGCCTCGCCCCGACACTTGTGGGGATGAGCCACGCCCTTTTACTTGGGGGCAGAGACTATGTTCCACGGGGTTGGCAGCCCCTTCGCGCTGCTCCGCAAATGTAACCTAGAAATACGCCCTCTCCTGCCCACCATATGCCCCTCTGTGTCGGGCGAGTTCAGCCTCTGGTGGGACAAGGACCACCCCCGCGACATCCAGCCACCGGCGAGTTGCACGTGCGGCCCCGCTCCGTGCCGGCCTCCCCGACGGGGGGATGGGGCCGGGGGTGGTTCAGGAGGCTGCTCCGTGTGTTAAAGGTCACGTCGCATCAGACGCAGTTATGACCTGTGCCAGCTCAGGGGGGCTTTGGGGAGAGAGCCGACCATGGAAGGCCCCAGGCTGCGGGTACGACAGCGAATTAGAGCGGGAGGAAGCTGGGACAAAAGTCCAGGCAGTTACGCTGGCCCCCGAGGCCGTTGTCACCCATCCGTCCATGGTGAGAAGGCCGGCGACAGCTCAGAGCATCGTAAGGCCTTGTTTCCAGGCCCTGAAGGCGGCCTGCAGGACAGGTGGCCACATCTCTCCCTGATGGGCGGGCACGGACTTCCTGTGACCACACTGTGACCATGACCACAGATCGAAATCTGATGGATGCCGCGCCGGAGTGTCAGTGTTGGCGGATGATCCCAGAGAGGAGACGGAGCGAGGGCCCCGCACACGCGGGCAGACCTGCTGGGCAGCCTGGTGGCCCCCGGGCTCCGTGATGGGCCAGTTCCCCGAGGGCTGTCTCCTCTGGGGGCTCATCTGTGAGGGTCCCTGCCTCCCCCCGAGGCACTAATAACTCCGACGTCTCAGCGAAGGCCTCCTCTTCCCTCTCTTCGCCCCAGTGCACCCCCTCTGGAAGGGCCCGGCCTCCGTGCGGCGGGGCACCCGACAGTCGCCCATCAACATCCGCTGGAGGGACAGCGTCTACGACCCGCAGCTGAAGCCTCTCAGGGTTTCCTATGCCGCGGCCAGCTGCCTGCACGTCTGGAACACCGGCTACTTCTTCCAGGTGGAATTCGACGACTCGGCCGAGGGATCAGGTGAGCCCGGGCTGCGGAGAGGAGGGCTTTCTCCTCTCCCGTCACGGCCCGAGAGGGGGGCCACGCTGGGCAGGGAAGGGGCCCAGGACTTTGCTTATGCGTGGTGTTTGGGGGGCAAGGAACAGAGGTGTCTCAGTATTGCAGGGTGGGGAGGTGGTGCTCATCCACAGGATTATAACGCCCACCCTGACGTGCGCACAGCTTCACTGGACATTCCAGGGGCCGGTCAGGAAGAGACGAGAGGCTCATAGCAATGTGTGTATATGGTGCGTCACAGAGAAGAGCAGAGCAGGTGGGGGGAGAGAGGGGAGGTGGCGGTGCGGCCTGAAGGCAGAGGAAGAAGGAAATTGTGCTGACGATGGGGCAGGGCATCCAGAGCCTGGTACGTTTGCTGGTTCTTGCCCCACAGAAGCCCAGCTGCTGGCAAGGGAGGAGGGGAGGAGCACAGGGTACAGCAGGGGAGGGCTGGAGCGGGCAGGTGGCGAGGCCTTGAGGTGGCCCTGGAGCCTCCATCCCTGACTGGGTCTCAGCACCTTGCCAAGGGCTTCATGTGGACCCCGCCCTCAGAGACTCACCGGGACTCTCACCAGGTTTGGGATGGAGGCTCCGTCGGGTCTGGGAAGGCATTCACACCCGGGCTGCTGCTGGATTCCGTCTGGTGTTCCTTCAGCACCCGTTGGTACCCCCCGAGCCCTGTTTATGCCGAGCCTCTGTCTTCCTTCCGGGAGTGGGGATCACTGTCCACAACGGCAGAGGGTGCCTCTGTGACCAGCCCCCGACGAAAACCTTAGGCACCGAGGGTCTTCTGGGCGTCCCTGGGGGACATCACTTCACGTGTGTCATCACAACCTGTTGCCGGGGGGGAGGGATGCTCCGCGTGTCCCATGTGACTCCACAGAGCGGGCTCTGGAGGCTGGCACCTGGCGTCCTCGGGCCAGCGCGGTCTGCCCCATTTCTCCTCGCGGATTCGCCTGTGTCGTTTCACAGTGATAATCTTAGCCACGCGTACGGCTGTGTGCAGAGTGTTGGGAGTCTTCCCAGGGAGTCTTCGAACCTGGGGATCCCTGACCCAGCCCCCAGCCCCAGGTCCTTTGTGGGCTGGCCCTCAGCCCATCCCTTCTGTAAGCCCAGTTTTATCGGACTCTTGCACCCACTGCCCCGTGAGGATGCAAAGCCCCAGGAGGGCAGGATGACTGCTTCCTACGGAGCATCATGGGCGCTCAGTCGAATGATGGACGAACAATGAATGGAAAGTTAGAGGAGCAAATGAGCCTCCATTTCTTCCCCCAGGGGGTGGAGAACAGGGCGCCCACCTCAATGGCCAGCGGGGGGACGTGAGACCACCGTGGGGAAGCGCTCAGCCTCGCACAAGATGGGCTATGGTCACCCGCTCTGGCTGCTTCCTACGTGGTCAGCGGCAGGACAGTGGAGTGGGGACTTGCCTTCAGGCAGATGCCGAGTCTCCGAACACAGGCCCCAGGACCGTCAGTCTGCTTCCATCGTCCGGGGAAGGTCCCGCCCCGCCCTGTGACCCGCCTTTGTCACGAGCCCTGGGCTTGGACTCCCACCCATCAAAGTGTCCTCAAGATTCTGGGAGACACCTGAGCTGGCACAGCGCCCACTCCGGGCACCCTGAACCAGGTGCAGGCCACGGGCCAGCCTTCCTGGGGGAGGGCCCGGGTAGTAAGCAGACGCCCCGCCGCAACGGCCCTCCTCTGATGGACCGGCCGGCAGTGGGGCGCCGGCTTCTCCCTGGGCCAGACCCTGCGAGGCGCTTCTCAGACAGCGGGGCTCACCTTTCCAGGTGACTCTCTCCCCATCCCACAGGTAAGTAGGAGGCCGCCTTCCCTGAGTAGCTGCCTGTGTGCCCAGAGCTGCTCACAGTGACCCTTAGCAACGCTGCTCACAGCACAGGGCTCGCTGAGCGCCAGGGACCAGAAGGCCAACTCTGGCCGACATTTGCACAGACGAACTTCCTGGAAGGATGAGCCAGGCTAAAAACAGAGAGGAGGGCGAGCTGCATGCCCAGATCCTGGAAAGCACGGGAGCCAGCCCGGGGCAGGGATGCATGAACCTATTTACTCAGTGTGCCAACTATTCTTCTGCCCTTGTCAGTCTGTTCCAAGTTCAAATTCCCAAGGAGCAAACTAAAATTGGATTTTCAGGTTTAATGTGCACATTTGTATCATTTTTAAAAATTTTATGCAGCAACTTTAAAAGACTGAATAAAGAATAACAGCTCCTGGGGCGCCTGGGCAGCTCAGTCGGTTAAGCATCCAACACTTGATTTCAGCGTTCCAGGCTCTCTGGTTCCGGGCTCAGTGGCGAGTCTGCTGGGGATTCTCTCTCCCTCGGCCTCTCCCCCACCGCTCTCTCTCTCAAAAAAAAAAAAAGGGAATAATAATAGCTCCTGAACTTTTAATTGCTTGGTTAACAGTTATGGGAATAATAATTTTGAGAAAAACAGATATGGTTGGGGATGAGTTACCGTAGAGTTCACCTCCTCCCATACGATTATTATGCGCAGTTATGGGTCTTACTGATATCTATATAACAGGTTTATTTTCCTTTAAGTCGTAAAATACGAAAAGCTGTGAGGGTCACGTTGGACTTCTGTATGTGCATCGTTAAGACACATTTGACGGAATCATTGACATCCCCAGGGGAAAGGGTCTGGTGGCTTGAGCGTGGCACTCACCCCACCCTTGGTCAGTGGAGCTCCTGGAACGCTGACTGACATCCTCACCATGACCAAGACCCAGGGTGCCGGCATGCTCCGGGAAGTGGTGGTCCCCAGGAACATGGCGATGCCGTTGCTAGAAGGCGGAAGGTTTGCGGGACAGACAAGTGGACACCCTCTTTAAAAAGCACATCCATCCCATGAATAACAGCATGGCCCCAAACAGACACCACAGTGGAGAGGCTCAGTGTCCTCGCTCCCCTCAAGGAGAGACAGAGGCTGAGGGAAGGGCAGCACGTGAAGGGTCAGGTTCAAGCCGGGTTCCTGTGAGTGGAAAGCTCACATCCCGCCCCCACATCCACCCTTTAACGGCCCCTTCTCCGTGCCTACGCTTGAGCACTCCTTGCCATGACTGTGTGCGATGGGTGTTAGCTCCCATTTCACAGATTAAAGAAAAATGAGTCTCAGAGATTCATGGCGAGAGGCCACAGAGCCCTCACGGCAGGATTCTCTGCCCTCCAAAGAAGGGGATTTTAGGAGCCTGAACCTCTGTGGAAAAAAATCTGCACCCAGCATCCACAGAGATCAGGCGTGAAGCCATAGACGCTGACCCCACGTAAAGGGAGGAAAGCATTAGCAGAGGGGGAGAATGTTCTGGGCTCGTGGTCAGGTCCCCAGGGAACCAGCCGCCTGCTCAGGGTCCTAGCCAGGCCCATGTCCAGGGAGCGCACCCCAACGGGAGGGCCAGTGGGCAGTGGAGTCGGCCTGGGACACCCACCCCTCACCCAGCAGCAAGAAGCCCACGCCCGACTCTCCGGACAGGTGGAGCGGGGACGCACCTGTGGTGCCTCAAGGGTGAAGTTGTTGCTATTATGTTTGTATGCTGTATGTCTTACAGCAGGTGTGTCTTGGACTCTGGATGATCCTGTGTCCAGTGGGAGATCGGGTCAGATTTGAGGCTGGCAAACGAGGCTATTACAGATCATAATTACCCTGAGAATCACAAATCAAAGCCTCCTTTGGGTTAAGTATTTCCACGTCTTGAATTTTTACCCAGAGCATAACTCACAGAATTGGGCATGGCCAATCCAAGCAGCGCCCTCTGCTTTGGGGATCCGTCCAGGGGTGGGCGCGCAAGTCAAGTCAGACCACTGAGCGCCAGAATTCTCCTGGGAGACGCTGGAAGAGAACCGCTTCCTGCCTGCGCTGGGTGGCAGTCAGCGGCAAGCCGGGGCCCCTGGTCTTCAGGACAGAGCAAAGCCAAGAGCTGGAGAAAAACTGAGGCCCGAGGCCATCGTTGGAGCTTCTAAATACAGCTGTGCCTGAGGCCAAACCAGCCCCTGGACCAATAAATCTCTCTCTCTCTTTCTGCGTAGGTCAGTTTGATGGACGGTTCTGTCCCTTGTTTCCAAGAACCCTAGTCCAGAAGGACCAAAACAAGGGGCTGAGTTGAGAGAGAAGAAATCGAAGGGATACACACGTAGAGGATCGGCAGCCTCGTCCTTGTGTTTTCTGCCCAAACGCCATGCAGCGGCAGACCTGCGAGGCCCAGGGTGGAGGGACCCTGTGCCTGACCCCCGGAGGCGGGCAGTCAGAGCTCGGGGCTTGAAGACACCAGGTCTGTCCTCCCACGTGGGCCTGGCCCTTCAGAGACTGGTTCGGGGAAGGCTGGTAAATGTTTGGCCCCTGGCCTTCCAGGACTTGGGGGAGCGACAGGAAACCATCTGTAGCGTTTGCCACCTTCCCTGGTGTAAATACTCCCACTCAGCCGGCTTCAAGCTCCCAACACAGTCACTGATCCCAAGTGAGGCATCCTCTGCACTGGGCAAGACTTCTTCTTGGGTTGCATGTGGCAGAAACTCAACTCAGGCTGTCAGAAGCAAACAGGAGGGAACCTCACTGGCTCCGACCCTAAGAAGTCCAGGGTGTGGCTGGGCCAGGTGGCCGGAAGATCCCTGGAGGAATGGAAGGAACGGAACTGAAGGTGGGAGGAATCCAGATCCTCCCCGTGGGTTCTGCTTTTCCTGGTGGAGTCACTCCAGGCAGGGGATTCCCAAAGGGGAGCAAAATGGCGCTTGGTGCTCTGGTTCCCCATCCTGATTGAGTGGCAGAGAGAGAGACAGTGCCTCTGTCCCCCCACGATTGCAGCTCGGGCCCCAGAGCTGACCCTCAGAGCCCAGCGTGGCTGCTGAAGCCCATCACGGTGAGTGAGGACAAGCCTGCCCTGGAGCCAGGTGCAGTGCCCGGAAGTGAGGGTGGTCGGGGCGGGGAGGCACACTCCGTGCCCTCGCCGCTGGGCCTGACGAGCTTGCTGTTGACC